CTAGTATAAGTGCAGTATATAGTCCTCAAAGGGACTGTAAGTCTGAACTCAACACGCGCACTCCGGAATTTGCAGTTGATACAAACAAGTTTCGATAAGATTTCACACACATATCTTTGTACTCAACGAATACACAAAGATTTTAAGAGTACCGTTGTAAATCGGACATTGTCCTCTTTCTTGCATACATGTAGGGTCACTTGAAAATATGCTTACAGTCCCTTTAAGATAGAATCTAAATGTTGCCGTCTGAACTAAACTTAAAATATATAAACTGGTTGAAATCCATCTCTTATCCTCAGTTATGTGAAAGCTTGCTTGTATCAAACCAACAAATAAACAGAGGAAGATTTGACCTTAAATTATCAACAAATATAAAAAATTCGATTGTTCGAGATACAGGGTGTCCCACGAAACATGACAGTTGGAGAATAGTTTAGAATGTCTTTTTCCATAATTTGTTGAGTTGTTTGGTACCCAAGTTCAAAAAAAATATTATTATATTAAAATTGATTTCAAAGTAAAAGATAATGAAGCAAAAGGATGTTTTAACTAAAAATAACGATTTTTTAAATGTCATGTTTCGTGGGACACCCTGTATTATCTTCTAACGACTAGACGATCGTCTTTGATCTTTGTAATAATTTGCGGTATTAGTCAAGCAATTTTTACAAACAATCAATCAAAAAATTCCCGTGCTCCTGGAACTTCCAAAATGTGGTCTGCCTTTTAAAATTACCGGATAAATAACAAAAATTTCAATTTTAATTATTCATAAAATTATTTCAGAAAATAATCTCATAGTATTTTAAAATTACAAAAAAGGCATACCACATTTTTTACATGTTAAGGATATTTTTGATTATCTTTTCTAGAATCTTACTTTTAAAATTAGGTTGGCGAATGAATGCCGCAAATATTATGCAGATAAAAGACGATCTTTAATCAATTGCCATGTTTCGTGGGACACCCTGTATTATATCTATGTATAAACAGGTTTGATCTTGTTTAAAGGGATTGTTGACGTAAAACTCTTTGGACGGGGGATCACTAACATTTATGTCGACAGTCCTGTTATATTACAAGATTTGTACGTTAAGGTACGCGAATGACAGACCACATTTCGAAAACTCCCACACTAAAGCTCTCGTTGATAAATATCTTAACAAAAGAACAAATTAATTTAATTTTACTTATGCCTTTTAATCTAATTATTTTATTATCTATAAATAAATATTTAATTTTCGAGTATTTTAAATCTATATCAATCCAGGGGGGGGGGGGGGGAAAACAA